GCAGAAACCGCAGGATTTGCCGATATCTACACGCAAGACTATAGCGGATATTTTAAAGACATTAAAGATTATATATATCTAAACGGTGAAAAATACCGTCCCCAAGATATATCACCAATTAACATTTTTAGCTTTGTTACACTCAAAAATGAGATCCTCGATTTTCTAGGATGGCCCTACTACATCTTAGAAAAATTGACTATTTTATACGCAATGTTTAACTTTATTGGATTTCTTTTCTCACTTTTAAAAGGAATCTACAACACATGTGCTATACACACACAAGTAAACAGACAAGCAAGTGTAGCACGCATACTATTTGCAGGATTTTTTGGAATCTTTTCTACATCTATAAACAAAATTCTTTTAGACGCACAAATAAAAGAATATAACACAAAAATAACAACACGACAAAATACATACGACGAAGAACATAACAATGTAGACATAACGCCAACGGCACCACAATTACCACCCCTACCAAATAACCATCCACTATCCCTAGTCCCACGAAATCTTCGAAACTTAGCCATCACACATAATTCAAATTTTCGACTCACCACATCACAAAGTCCCATTCAACATATAATGACACACCAGTCACAAGATGATAATACTTATGAACAAATTATTGAACAACCCCATACCACCGCTTTTCAGTCTCAAAATAATCATTTTTTTAGCCCACGATGAGCCGCCAACTTGGATCACTACACCGATCAAATTCCCACCCAACCAATCTTACCTCCCCAATCCCAATAATACCACTTTTTGCTTTTCCGCCACCCGACTTTCCATCTAGTAATGTAACATCAGGCATGAATTCCGACACTAATTCACACATCTCAGTTTTATATTCCATCTCACAACTCAATAACCCGAATATTGAAACCCCCGATGAATTCGCCGACTCAGAACCATCCCCATCCAATAATTTTCATAACTCTTCTAATTTTTCTCAACCCCCTTTTCAACCCATATTATCCAATAACCCTGACCCAATCACTCCCACACCCTCTTATGCTTCCCAAGTTACCCCAACCTACTCCTCATACCATTCTGACCAATCATCTCATTCTCCAGACACCCCCCGAATCTCCCCAGAGCTAGATAATTTTATTACCCTTCAACAACAACCCTACCACCTTAATACCCCAACCATAAACCAAATCTCCTCCACAATAAATTCATCCAACCCCCCTACCCCTATACCCTCTTCAAATTATACTGAATCAATAGCACCATCATCCACATCAACTGAATCTTCACTCAACACTAATAGAGCTTACCGCACTTTTAAAAGAAAGTTCCCCAACCATCCTTTCCCAGCAAAACCAGGAACAGCCCGTGAATACATCAACCACCCCAAGCATACTAATACAAAAGAATTTTTAGCCATCACCTTACCCTCATTCCCACAATACACCTTAAACACCCCCCACGACACTAACGAAACATGCAACTTCGTAGATGAATACGTTTTAATGCCCACTCTCTCTTGGACCTCATATTATCATTTCACTAACCCTCTTTGCTTACCTTTATCTAACACTCACATCGATATAGAGCGAAATACGGACATGCTATATCGACTCACTACACCACTAACACCTAGACAATTTACTTACGTTGGATATAAAAAATCACTAAAAACACACACTGCACCTAGAGCTAACGAATATACACTCGAATACTATGATCACAACATCATCAGAGCTAACCAAGATCAATTCTTAGACGACGATCGCTTCGCTAATCCACAAATTACCGAGAAATTTTTCATCAAGACACCATATACATTCACACTAAACATCTTCGACCGAAAGTTTGATCACATTATTTCAGATGCACTAACAGACACACAAGCATACGAAAGTTTTAAAGAACGCTTCCAAATATTTTCACTAACCTTTCATTTCCTTGCACCACACGAAAGAGATTTACACTGCTCACACGATATTATGTTGCGCACTAAACAAACCCACACATATAGTTATTATCGCTTCATCCAAAATCACTTTGACCTACACACACCCTCTAGACAACCACACCATCGTTTTCAATTCATTAATTCCAAATACACTTCACCATTTTTTCTAAATTTCACATATTGTATTAAAGACACTAACCTCCATGGTATTCTTCGTAATTATGACCCCATAACCCAAATGTACATCTTCTGTCCCATCACCAAGACCTTCAACGCCGAAGAATCCCGACCCTTCCTTATCCCGCACGAGTTTGTACAACCTATAGAAATCCCAATTTTAGAATTCATCCACAACACTAAATTCAATCACAAATTATATAATCTAATCCAAAACACACCTTATGAGTTTGCAGTTGGCACTGAAGAACTAACCACTATTAAGGCACTTCAATTGCTTTGGCCACTGCTTCAGACTAAAAATATCATCCGCATCTTAGCTAAACTACTAACAACTTCAGAACTAATTCACGACATCTTCCCCCACGGTTTTTTCCCCGACGACTAACAGGTAAGTATGAATTAAATGAATATTACTAACTAATTAAAATATTAAAAAACTCACCATACTTTATTCAGGTTTTCTTTAGATTTTTAGCCTTCATCCGACGATCACCTACAAAAACCACAAAAGACAAATAAAAATCGCAAATTTCATCAAACAGATTTCAAAAATTCTATTAATCTCTTACACTTATAAATTTATAAATTTAATACCAATGCAGTAAATTCATCTATAATATTTTCCCCCAAAGCAGTAAATCTAATTATGATGAAAATTTGTATCTTAATATTCCCCCATGACTAGCAGTAAATTTCTAAATTCTATGTAGTAAATTAAATAAATGCAAATGCAGTACTAACCTTTTGATATTTTCATTCATTCGCACAGAAATTCTATCCACACTCGCACAGCTCGCCCACGAAGAATTGTTTAAAATAATGAATTTCAGTTTCAAGTTTTCACACTCAACAACTCTAACATATAATAACATGTTTCAAACTTTCCTTTAACCCGGTTGGAAAGGAATCATATACTAAACAAAACTAACCAACGCAGCTTACTAAATACCACAAATCATAGAATAACAGCATGACTTAGAAAAGGAAACCAACGGTACCCAAACCGGATTAACCCAGTTTAAAACTGGATAATTTATTCTTTTGAAGACTATTATAAAGTCTAAAAAAGAAATAATAAAACACAAAAAAGTCGAAAGACAAACCCATACCACAAACAATTTGATTTTTGAAAAAAGGACACAACCAACAAAACATAAGTAAGACCACAACAAACCCAACATAAAACGTTGTCACATAACAGGACCCCTCACAAAAACCGCATGAAATCATACTCCCACTCCTGGCCTAACCCACCAGGAAGGACGTCCTGAGCATGCTCTATAGCCGGCCTAACCCACCGCGCTACATCCACGCTTTGTGACCACACCACTATTTTTAATAAGAGCTACTCAAGTGTGAGTAACTCTTCAAAATAACCGAACTAAAACAAAAAGCTTTTGTGAAAACAACTAACTAAAATCATTATTAAAAAATATTAAACTAATAAAAGTTTTATAAAATGTAAAATCACATGATGCAATATATAGATCAGAATACAACACCAAGGACGAACATCAAAAGACAAGACGACCCCACCACACTCGAGAGAGAATGACCAACTACAATCAATATGCCGCTCACAATCACAACTCAAAGGATTTAGAGTACGACTTGACCTCGCAGAAAAGGACTTCATTGAACTAGACCAATGACCACCTCGATGACCCAAGTATACGTACAGATCCGAGTAACCAGGCATCCCCTCCACGCACAATCTCCACGCCATTCCCAAACTAGACCATACACAAAAGAAGTTCTCCACGCAGAACAGAAAAACCTGACATAGCAAACCATTCTGAAATCAGAATTGATTTTGTTGCAGAGAACTCAGTCGTTGTCACAAAAAGAACACAACGTCTTAAGTCTCTAACTCCAGCTTCCTGGAACTTCCCTAACAAAAGAGGAAACGGAAGAAAATTATGATGTTCGCCAAACAACAACGTCCATCATCCATCCTTCGAATTACAGAAGAACTATTCTAAAAAACTCTGTAAAACCCGGATGGGTGGAACCTGATCTAAACTACATATTATGATTGGATAAATTAAATGTTTTACCAATGTAAAGTATTTAATATTAACCAATCACAATCCATCTAACTAACAACCCACTTATTTGTAAGTGCTGAAGTTACTTGTAATTTCAGCACCAGAGAGATTTGAATTTAACTTAGAAATTAGTTGGACTCTCCCGAGCACTTCAGCAGCCGCAATAAACCAGTATACCCTAGATCTATTGAGCCTAGCAGAGACTAGTTAAACAACCTGAGACTAGATAGTATAAGAGTAAGATTAGGATCGGTATTAGACTAAGAAGTTGCACGAATCTATCCGGCCGAAAATAAGATAGCGTGACGAGCAGACGGTGTACCCTATCCGAAATTACTCTATGAGTTACACTTCAGTCCTAACTCAAAAACTCAGACCCTCTATCATTAACTCAAAACATTTCCTCTCTGTTAGCTGTGCGAGTTTAAAAATTTTTAAAATTGATTTTTTAACGGATGAGTCCAAAAAGTAACCTGAACGCCGACTAACCCAAATGAACGAGACCATTAACACCAAATTTTTTAACGAGTTTTTAAAAATGTAATTTTCGCCTGTGAAACTGTCAAATTAGGAGGCGTCCATCCGAAAAAGCAATTCTTTTGCGCTCAAAACTTCTCAAATTTTCCTAAAATGTGGAATTTAACATTTTTCATTGAGCTTTAACTAGAAAAAAATAATTGGAAGTTCTCTTTCACAGACGTCGACTTCAGCATGTATTTCAGAATATGGCTCGGATATAAAAAAACTGCTGGTAAAGATGTTAAAGATAAAGATGTGGTAAGATCTTGATACAAAATATAAATTTAATGTCTTTGTATATATCACATGATGTTGCCACCTACCAGAATGCCCACTCGTGAGATGGTGTAGGGAAGACCCAAGAAGTTCACGCCCACAAATATAGTGAACACATTCACAAAATCTAGCAGTTTCCACACCCTGAAGAAGAAATTAGTCGCTTTAAACATTAACATGCTCATGCTGGTATATATCTTCCACGCTAGCTGAGTCAGGAAGACGTTTTTAGTCTTCCGGAGCGTTTTAGGTCATCAAACTTCTACGCTAAAACTCACCTAATGAGAAAAAATATAATGCTTAGAGTGTTTTGTTCATAAAATCTTATGTATCGTACCTGAAAATCAAAAGGGATTGAGAATGCGGTATTTTTTAAATGCGTTAACTATGGCGCTGCGACAAGTCTTTTCCATTCGAGCCCTTCACCAACTGAAGGTTCCCCCTTTGGTATTGTTTTATCACATCCATTTTAGGCCGACCAACCCAAAGTTTTTTCTAAAGGCGCTTTTGGCGCCAATATATACTAACTTTGAAGGGGAGCGCGCGCCGAAAAAAGTCAATTTTTTGGTCAAATTTTTCCAAAAAGTGCCCCCCTCCCCGAGAAAACTGTAGATCCCCCCTCGAGAAAATGGTAGAACTAGAGAAAATTGTAATACATTCTTTTTCTACGGTATATTCTTGTCTGTATAATCGGTTATCATGGCAAAAACTTGGCAATGTAATGGAATTTTAATCCAGTATAATTGATATTTTTCAATAAACTAAAATCCATTATACTCCATTATAATCAATCAAACTATTTTTTTGCTTTCAAAATAATTGTTTAATTTTTGCAAAATTTTGTTCTACTTTTTACAGCTTTCTGCAAAGCTCGAGCGCGAACAAATACGTTCATCCCCGTAATCACGGTTCACTAACATGCCCCCAATGTCACCCTCTACGCGCGCGCCCTCCCCCCCCCCCCCCCCTTGTCGACCTTCTCCCGCTCAATGATGTGGGGGGTCATCTGGGGTAAATTGTGGTGTTTGCAAAAGAAACCGAATGTACGAATAACAAAAAAAACGTACATAACTTATCATAAAACCGTTGAAATTAAGAGAAATTGCAAACTTAGCTAAAAAATACAGAAAAATTTTTTGATCACTTGATAGTTTGCTGTGAATAAATTTTACTGACGCCATCGCAAAAGGCTAGCCAAAAAACTTCAGATATGAAAACTGCATCTTTGAATTTTAAAACCAAAATTTAAAAAAAATTATAACACCGATATTTATGCCAAAACAAAAGTTATATCTTTTTTTTCGGTTATACCAATTTTGCAAAATTGAAAAAAAATGAGTGGAAAGCTTTTTTTCCAATGAGTTAGTTCGCGAAATTGTATGATTAGCATTTTTGGTTTATTGATATCAATCCGGGAATAGTTGTTTAGTGATAATGCTTACATTAGTAAATGATACCCAATTCAATCCATCCTCCTCGAGAATAAGCAATGAATATATTTTGTCAAAATAAATCAGTAGCTGAATTAGGAAAGGGGGACTTTGGTACTATTGTATGATACCTATTTTCAGCGGACTGATCCTAAACTTCCTCGGCTCTAATATATTCTGATTTTAAAGAGGAGTGCGCGCCCGAAAAAACACAATCTTGCCTAAAAACGTCTCCTTGGCCTGTTCTTTCAAAAAGTCGCCAAGAGCACAAAAAAACTTAATAGCGTCCTTGTAGTGCTTTGTGAGAGCTCGGAAAAACAACCTAGAAAACCTTACCCCCTCTCCCCGCCCTCCTTCGAGTAAAACCATCCGCCCCTGAATCAAACCAATAAAAGCGAACCGATCAACCATTTCAGTATGTTTCCATTTTTCTTACATCTAACGAACATGTATCGTTTTAGAATAAATCACTTCTCACCAAGGCTTGTTGTAGACAGCACCCACTGAATCTGACCTGGTCTTTTCTGGGGTTTTGGAGGTCATCTCAGCCGGCCTTCCTCCATCCCCAGCACTCATAGTGTTATAGTTTGTCATGTTCAGGAATACACACGTTTAATGACCCCTGAGGTCAAGGTTAATTTATAGTGCATATGGGACCCAATTAATTCATTCAATGTTCAGTTGTTGTGGAAAAATTATTCAAAATTGAATCGCACTACATTTGGTTAATTTTTTCAGTGACTTTGAAATATATTTAAACATAGAAATGGCAAGTGGAAATTGTTTTCTATTGTACAACTTAGTCAATAGAACAATGCGTTAAAATTTTGACTGAGCTTGAGCGTCAGCTGATATAGCTCAGTTACGACATGGGAAAATCGGTGGAAT